ATTGCATCATCATTTTTAGTGGCAGAATCTGAAAAGATCTTTAATGTTGATTTTTAAAGGGAATGGCTGAATAAAATATGCTCCATCAATACTGGGGATTACTACATTGCTAAAAAAAGAGTGACTTTGATCTGTATATTCTCATCAGAGGAATGTCCGTGGGTATAGCAAGTTACAAAGCACTGTGTTTGATGTGATCTCACATTTGTAAAAACAAACTGAAATACAAAACCTATGCATATTTATCTGTTTGTATAAGTATACAGAAAGGTGTGTAAAATATAGTCTATATTTTAATGTTGATATTTAAAGGAAGGAGGGGCACTTGAAGAATTAAGTGACTACTAATTTTTTACTTTAAGCAATTCTATTTTGTAAATTAACAACATGTAAGGAACAAACTATCAAGGATATAGAATGCATTTTGACTGTTGACTTTGTATCCTGGTACACTACTGAATTTGAGTTTTAATTCTAGAAGTCTTTAGCTGGAGTTTTTGGGTCTTCTATGTAAGTATCATGTCATCAGTGTTGCTGTACACCAATAACAAACTCACGAGAATGAAATTAGGGAAACAATACCTTTCACAATAGCATCAAGCAGAATGAAATGAAATATTAGGAACTAACTTAACCAAGGAAGTGAAAGCCCTCTACAATCAAAACTATAGTACTCTGAAAAATGAGATCCAAAAGGATATCAGAAAATGGAAAGATATTCCTTGTTCCTAGATAGGCAGAACCAATATAGTCAAAATGGCCATACTTTCAAAACTGTTATATGGATTTAATGTAATCCCAATCAAAATACCAATAGCATTGCTCACAAAAACTAGAGAAAACAGTCCAAAAATTCAGAACCAGAAAAGACCTAGATTAGCAAAAGCATTTCTGAGCAGCAAAGGCCAGGCAGGGGGCATCACAATCCCTAACTTCAGGTTATACTACAAACAGTGATAAAAATAGCATGATATTGGCCAAAAAAAAAAAAAAAAGACTTGTGGATCAATGGAACCGAATAGAAGATGCAGAAACAACTCCAGACACACTTAGCTACTTTATCTTTGACAAAGGGTGAAACACCTTCCCTGGAGGAAGATAGCCTATTTAATAAATGGTTTTGAGAAAACTGGCTTTCAAAAGGTCAAAGATTGAACATGGACCCATATCTTTTACCATGCACTAAAATAAAATGGAAATGAATCAAAGATCTAAATATTGAAACAGAAATTTAATCTACTGGAAGATAGAATAGGTAAAACTTTTGAAGGTAAAGGTGTAGGCAAAGACTTTATGAACAGCACCCCAGTTGTACAGGAAATATCACAAAGAATCAACAAATGGGATCCTTCTGCATAGCAAAGGGAACCACCAACAGGGTGAAGAGACAGCCTATAGAATGGGTTGAATTTTTGTCAGCCACTCCTCAGACAGAGGACTAATATCTACAATACATTAAGAACTCAAAAAAATTAGACCCCCCACATTTGAAGACCCAATTCAAAAATAGGCATCTGAAATGAACAGATACTTCTCAGATGAATAAGCACAAATTGCCAATAAGTACATGAAAAAAATGCCATTTGATAGATGAAAATTAAAACAACATCGACATTCCATCTCACTCCAGAAAGAATGGCTATCCTCAAGAAATCAATCAATAACAAATGCTGACAAGGCTTTGAGGGGAAAAGGAATCCTTTTCCTTTGTTGGCGGGAGTATAAGTGGGAACAATACTATGGAAAACAGTATGGAGATTGCTCAAAAAACTAAAATTGGAGGTTTTATTTGACCCAGTTATTCTCCTAGGCATCTTCTGAAGAGTTAAAAGTCATCACAGTATAGTGATACATGTGTACCTATGTTCATAGCTGCACTATTTATAATAGCTAAATCTTGGGAACAGCCCATATGCTTACCAGATGAACGGATAAAGAAAATGTGGTACTTATATACAATGGAGTACTACTCTGCCATAAAGAACAATACATTTCAGACACTTTTAGGTAAATAGATGCACCTTTAGACCATAATCTTAAGTGAAATACATCAGACATACAAGTTTAAATATCACATTGTTTCTTTTGTGTGAGAAACCAAAAGTATAAATAAGGAGCAAAATGAAGGATAGATATTACGAAGTAAGAAGAACTTGTTCAAATGGGAAGGGGAGCAAGAGATGGGGTGGGGGGAGGAAAGGAAAGAAAAAGGGATTTAAATTAAAAAAAGAATTGATAAAAAAATGAAAATAGATCTCTTGTAAATGGGGAGGGGAAGAAAAGTTGGAGGGGGAAGGGAGAAAAAAGAAAGAACTAAAATGTGTTATATACATGTTCAAATCCTCCAGGGTAAATGTGATCACTGTGTACTGCAAACATGTACTAACAAAAAAGAATATTAACAAAGCAAAAACAAAAACATAGGATGCTCCCACCACTCAAGCCCTGATGATTTACTTCTTCATTATTTCCTGAGTATTTCATGGGTGCCAGAGGCTTTTCACGCACATGATTTTATCCAATCTTTACAATAATCCCAGGTGATAGTACTAACAGGTGATAAAATAAGACAGAGAGAGCTTGATTATCTTTCTCAGGGAAGACTATGGAGCCTTGTGGTCAGTCCTATTGGCCCGAGAACCTGAGCACTTGCTCTGGCCTACACTTCACTCTCTTAAAATGAGGAACAGATGTGGTACCTTATTTTTGTGTCAGTCTAGAATTCTAAGCCTGGTTAACTGGTAAGGGTCCAAGTTTATATGTGGAAGGGTGAACTAGTGCAAGTTAAAATCCTGTAGACAATAACCTGGCTGGGTGGGGGATTTAGCTAGGTGGCACCGTGTCTGCCTCACAAGTACAAGGTCTTGAGTTCAATCGCCAGTACCAAAAAAACAAAAACAACAACAACAAAAAATGGTTGACAATAATCCAAGTCCCTGACAGAGGGATTGAGGAGGAGACATAATCTTGAAAGAATTCTGCTGGAGGTGAGTCACTGGATGGCATTTCTACTAGGGGTAGATTAGTGTAAAAGGAATGGCAGTCATGGGAATGTTATTGTCCTTTCGGGCTTTCAGAGGTGGTGGGAAGAACTGTTCTACTGTTAGTGAGGCTTTGACCTCAGGGTCGGTTTCACCGCCCTTTCTTAGTGCAATCTTATTTTCTTCTCTTAAGTTAGGAGCTCTTCAGGGATGATTATAGGCTCCAAAGAATTAGAGGTCATGCATGGATTTCTTCAGAACATGTATTTTCAGTTAAGAGATTGCATAGCTTACAACACAGAGAAAACTCATTCTTAAATTTTTACTAGAATTGGCAATTCTGGCAAAGATTTTAAAAATTAAGATGGGCTTTCTTAGAGGCTGAGTTCCAGGGTTAAGGCTCCAGGTGTGGATGTCAGCACAGGAGGGTCAGAAGGCCATGGTACCTTCTCTTGCTTGGGCATATGTGTTCTTCCATACAACTTTTCTTAATTTGATCTCCCTAAAAGTTCTACATTAATAGGAAAGTATTTTTTTAATTAGAAAAGAGTAAGAGGCTGAAAAACATGGTTTAAAAAAAAACTAAAAAAGAAGAAAGTCTATGGCAGTGGTTCTCAACATTAGTATCATTTGTGGGATCTTTAAAAGGTGCCAAGGTCATCAGGATCTGTGAGGAGGGACCCAGCAGCAGTGCTGTCTGAGGCTCCTAGATCAGAAAGATGAGAACCAGGGACTCAGGGGCCAGAATCCTTGCCCCACAGCTGTCCATGGGTCCTCAGGGTTGAACTCAACTCAGGAGATTCCTGATGGCTGGTGTTAGATTTTGGGACCCAGGTAGAGAGACCTTTGGGCCAAGAGGATTTGGGCCCTATTCTTTATATCAATGGTGAGCCTATCTGCCCTGTCCAGTAGCCAACTCAACAAAAAATAGGCTGCAATTTTTTTTTCTATTTTGAATGGAAATAACTTTGACTGAAGCCCATAAAAAGTGACTAGTACTGGGCACAGTGGTGCATACCTACAATCCCAGCTATCTGAAGCCTGAGGCAGAAGGATGGCAAATTTGAGCCCAGTCTGGACAACCCAGTTTCAAAAGGAAATTAGAAGAGGGCTGAAGATGTAGCTTAGTGGCAGAGTACTTGCCTAGTGTGTGTCAGGTCCTGTATTCAACACCCAGTAACACACATTCATACAAAGTGATTAGTGTTATAATTTAAGATTATCTATTTTGTTAAATAGAAGACTGCCTGTGAAAATGGATAACTCCTTTAATTACTCAAAATGCTTACCTGAGCACTTTTGAGAAAGGAGCATGGAGACAGATTTCTAAAGTTCTATCTTCAGATTACATCACGTACCTCACGGTGAAACCAGGTGGTCTGGGAGTGGTTCTGGAATGCTGAATTGCTCATCTGTGTTCTGGTTTATGGTTCACTAATCCTTGCATGAACATTAGCTAATTAAATCTATTTTCTGAAACTCTACTTATTGGAATCACTAATCTACTTTAGACTCTGAGTTTTTTTAGACCAATATAAGTGGTTAAAATTTGTAAAAATAATAACTGGCCTTGGAAAAAGAGTAAATGGAAGCACCATCTTTTCATGTGGTGCATGTGGTAAATGTAGTTTTGGCAATACTAGGCTGTAACAAGACCAGAAGCTATTAAAGGGCAAAGTGCTAACATTCCAGATTCATAACTTGAAGCAATAGCAGAAATGCTTGCTCTGAAGTTACTGACCTTTGGCCTACCCGCCCCACCCCTGCCATTCATTCACACTTTCTCAGTCTTCCTGGTAATGCTGTCAGGCTTGTCCTTTGGGCAATTGTATTTTTCATCAATAAAAACTTCTTGGTGGGGAATTTAGTTATGAAGTGGTGAAAAATAAGGAAATAGCCAGTTTCTGCTAGTGAGCAAAAAGACATATCATATGAAACAAAGTTTTAATTTTTATTTTACATATTTATACATAAAACTTTCAAGGAACCCTCTGAATCCAACAGAATGTTAATAGCACATCAAAAAATGAACTTCAGGTAGTCAACATTCACAAAATGTTGAAAACTGATTAAAATATACATATTACGGAGAGCTACAACTTCACTACGAGGCAGGCATGTATTTTTTGACTTGTATAGCACCGTCATTTACAGTTCTTCTTTAAAACTACAGTGAAGAATGGAAGTAGTCAATGGTAAAATACTGCTCCAACTTAAAATCTCTAAACAAATAAAAATAAAGTTAAAGCTATCCTCTTTGATTAACCATGATCTGTGATGGTGTAAGTACTGTACATTTTTTGTAACAATATTTTATTAAAATGCCTGATATTAAGTGGCACAGGTAAAAAATTAAAATAAATTAAGAAGCAAAGGCCAATCACTGGACATTAAGCTTCAGACATTATCAATGACTAACACTGATATTTATTTGTTTCTGCGCCACCTTTTAGCAATGGCATTTTTACAACCACAGAAGCAAAATAAATTCTAGCTTGTCCTCTGGTTGGATGGCTTCTTTTCACTTTGCAGGCATTTTCTCTGCCATGTGCTTCTGCTGACTTTCAGCATGTCTGTAAAGTTAATAAAAACAGTTATTTAGCCTAAAAAGAACAATCCAAACTGTTTATCAATCAACAGCTACAACATGCTCCAAACTGAGGTTCAGAGTTACTCAGAGTGGAATATATGAGAATCAAGGAAAACCACCTTATTCAAATGGATTTGGCCTCTTTAATTTTTATATTCTGCTTATGATTCCTTTTATGGATTAACTCTAGACCTACAGACATTATTGGTTTTCCTTAGAGAAGAAAAGTGCTGTGTTTGGAAATGAGAAGAGTTAAGTGTCTGGGATCCTTTTTTTTGGTACTGGGGATCAAACTCGGGACCTTGTGCTTGTGATGCAGGCGGTAGAACCACTGAGTGAAATCACCGGCCCATGGGATACTTTTATCAATAAATACTTAAAATGTGCCTTCTTCATGCCATCAGAGCTCTCAAGGCTGGGGATTTGGTGTCGAGCAAGACAATGAGGTTTTTGTTCTTGTTGGGAATGTGCTCCAGTGAAGACAGACAAGAAAGGAGCAAACCGCAAATAAAGAAATAGAAGACAGAAAATAAACATTAAACAAAAAGTCAAAATGAAGTGTGATTGAGAGTAATGGAGTGACAACTTTATGTAAACACATGCAAGCAGACACAGATGCAGGTATTATTGAAAGCTCCTGACAGAAATCTGGAGCCAGTAATCTAATTTGCTCTTACAAAAGCTAATGCCTAACAAATGCGAGGCCTTTACGATGTAAAGATTTACCATGCTGGCATCAGATTTTTCCCTCAGTTAACCCTAAGAGGACAATCATAGTAGTGAGGGCAGGTCTTAGAGAGGATAGGTGAGTCTTCTTATTTATCAAGCTCTATCACGACCTGTGAGCCCAAAGTCAGGTCAAGTCAGCAGCTGTGCTATGGAGGCAGAAGGGACAAATGGCCAAGCTGTTCATATTACTTAAATGGGCATTTCCCAGAGAATGGTAGGATCTGAAGGCTGCAAAAGATGGTGGTTTAGGAAATGATATATTTGGAAAGAGAAAAACACTCAAGGTTGTGGTTTCCAGCTGTAAGTAAGGGTTTGGGGACAGTTTATGTATGCTATTAGACTTGGGTAGTCAGTGATGTCAAGTGTAACTCATTGGTTTTACGCAGAATGTCCCATATCTACAGTGCAGACAAACCACAGATACTTTCAGAAATAGGGAAGTGAGAAGAGCATCTTTGCCACATTCAACAGGCCACAAATAAATGGTGACACTCATGTAACAATAAAGGAACTCAGGGGAAAGACACCATCATCACTCCATTCCTTAAAATGAGCATCCCTTGTAGCTGACCATCCCATGGTTCAGTTTATGTGTATAAAAGAGCTGTGATCATTCTCTTACAATTAGCTCATACCTCTTAAACAAGAGCTAAGATTCCACTTTAGCTGATTTAATTGTAGTTCTTACTGCAGTTGCTTTATTCTATACAGGTGTGTGCATGTGACATGCAGAAGCATACAATAAGGGGTTTTCTGAGAAGAACAGAAAAGCAGACAGGAGACAGCTTCAGAAAATACTGAAAGATGAATGTCTGAGATATACATACAAAGGTGTAGTGGATTAACTAATGGTAAACTTGCAACCCCAGCTGAACTGAATCAGCATGGTCTGGGTGTGGAGGATCCACCTGAGGATTGTTACTAATAGCCATAAAAGGAGAACTGGAGAGGAAGATCTTGGCCTGTTGATTTGCTAGGAGAAGCTTGCTGTGGAGGGTTTTCCTGATGTGAACTACGCTGTTCTCATAGGAGGAGGAGCTCAGGGCCTAGCCGTTGCTGGGAATGGCTGCTGTTTTCATCAGGGGAGCTCTGATCTTCACCATGAGCATCACTTCCTGGCTTCAATGTGGATCCCTCAGCTTAGTGGCACAGATCCTTCATCTCACTGGCATAGGTTTTCTGGCGTCCACCACTGGCCTTTGGGCCTTCCAGGTGCAGATCCTCAACAGGGACAAGCATGGGACATTGCCATGGGCTCTAGGCCACTAGCTGGACTTGAGGAGGACATTGCCTTGGACTCTAAGCCTTTAGCTGGATTTGTGTGGGACACTGCTGGGAACTAGGCCTCAGCTGGACTCTTTGGGGCTCTAGTGTGCGGTTAATCTCTCTTGCATTCCTTTGCATTTGACTTTTTGGGTAATTATCATAAAATAATCCTATAAATTATGTCTTGTATTTAATGTATTCCCTTGCCAAATCCTGCTGACTACAACAAAAGGTGAATATCCTTGACATTTTAAACAGACCATGGCAAAGGGTTTAAGTCTATAAAACTAGTTTTCACTGACAAATTATATTAAAATATTTTTAAAGATTAGTTTCACACATACTCCACTAAGACTCTTTTTATCAACAATCATTACTGAGGACCTACTATGTGCACAACAGGCCCTGTGCTAGGCTCTGGGAATATGGTTCTGAATGAAAACGGAGTTGCCTTCTGTCAAGTGGGGAAGGCTGACGGACAAATGTAACACAGTGTAATGCTCCACATGAGATGGATGGGATGGGAGCACATGAAAAGTCTTGGTGATCAGAAACTGGATCATATGACAGGTAGTAACACTGTTTGATACCCACCACGTGGCTGCTCATATGCTGGAATCACATCAGCAAGGAATGACTTGGGGCCAATTACCAGGGGCCTGTTCTAGGCCAGAACTGTTGTCCTGACTTAGGCAGAGATGACAATTCATTACAAAAGGAGAATGACTAGTAAAAAGCCACACCTTGGGGGCAGGGAGGGCTTCTCCAAAGAGACATCATCTAAACCAATAGTTCTCAAATTTTGCTATGCTATGAATCACTTGGGAGCTTAAGAAAATCCTGATGCTCAGGTCATCCAAAATAATAATAAAGTCAGAATCTCAGAGTGAGACTCAGCCACCAGTAGTTTATAAAGCTCCCCTGGTGGTTCTAATAGCCCAAATTGAGAATCACTGGTAAGAATTGACACTTAGAATAGTAGGAGTTGGATTGGTGAAGGAAATAGGTGAAGAAAATTTCCCCCTCTTTCCTCCAGCCACAGCCATCCATCTGAGATCTTGCTGTAGGACGCTGGGCCTATTGTCTTTAGGAGGTGTTCCCTGGGAGCAAAGTTACGTTTCTTCAGCTGGGGAACAGGTGCATAGCCTTCTCCCCACAAGTGGATGGCTGTGAAGGACACTGTCCCCACCCCCTCACCTTGCAGGACTGCTTTAATTTAAAGGGCTCTACAAATACCTCTTAATGAGTGACTCTTTCTTTTTAACCACACTCCTACCTGCCATGCTTCCACAAAAATCACATCATATGAAAAGTATAAAAACATAGACCACAAACCTAGGTATCAGCCTAATGGTCTGCAAGATGGGGAGAAGCCTCACTATGCCTCGTTAACAAGGAATAACAATACTGTTGAGAGGTCGAGGAAAGGTCACTGCTGTCACAGAAAATCACAGCCTTTATGGAAGAGTTCAGAGGTTTTTCCAAAAATGTAGAACCTGGTTGTGTGTTTCACCACTGATTTCCCATAATCTCAATACTTTTACGCAAATTCTTAGACTAACAAAAGGGGTCTGTTTTACAATTGTTGGTTATAGTGCCCGAATAGAGCTGTAGGTGGCAATAACATTATTTGAGAGTTACTATGATATTTTAGATGCAAGTAAGTATGCTCAGAGAGTATGAAAATTCCTACTGTTTTTAGGTGAGGGACAAGGCTATACAGTACTTAAAGCACACAACAGAAAGTGCAGCCCATATGTCTTAAAAAAGATCTTACACAGTTTTGCAGCATTTATTTTGCTACCAAAACATTACATTAAAGGTTACATCATTATAAAATTATTTTATCCAGCATTATATGAGGTCCTATGGTAGGAGCTGAGAGCAATTATCACTACATATGTTTTTATGCTTCTCTGGGATGGTTCTGGATTATGTGGTTAATTCCTTATGTTATTATGACAAGCAGTGTGTTCTTTCTTGGGAGCTTTTGGCTCTTTGAATAACATTTCTGAGATTAATAGCAACTGTTGTCTCCTGGCTTGAGATTTCATATAGACTGTCTCATAAAAGTACCACAGTGGATTTGAAACCATAGCAGTATTTATAGTACTTAATGTACTTTATTTACATATATAGGGTCATATATATGACATATGCACAATACATAATGTATGGCATGCCTTTCTGTTGGGAAGATACTAAGAAATGGAAGACCTTGACCAGCATTAGCTTAGTTCAGTGGTAGCAAACTTATGGCATGTGTGCCACAGCAGGCACACAGAGCCCTCTCTGTTGGCACGTGAGGCAAGTGTATGAATTGCTTTTTCTAAACTAAAACCTCAGTATTCAGGTTTAATTGCAGCTGCCACTTTGTGATAAATAAGTGGGTTGTGGGTTGCAGTTTGGGCAATTGGTCTCTAAAAGTTTCACCATTACTGGCCTAGTTTCTCATCTCTTGGGAAGGGCACAATTGTTACCTCTTTTATAGAGAGGCAGTTGGTTCAGAGCCCAGCTAGAAATTCAAGTCCTGGAGTTTCCCCATTGTGAGAACAATGTGATAGCACTGGGGCCATGGAAAGACAGATGTCAAGGGCCCTACCTTTTGAACATGGCAGAGATGATCAAGAGGTAGGTCATATAACAGCCAGTGTTACTCTGTCGCACCAAGCACATGGCTACTCCTGTGTTGGAAACACGCCATCAGGTAATGGCTTCGGGTCAACTCCCCTGAGGACAGTCCTCAAGATAGTCTTTCTGGGCCAGAACTGTTTCCCTGATTTTGGTGAAAGGGTAAAAGTCCTGAGCCCTGACAATTTATCATACAGGGAGGAGGGCTATTAAAAAGCAGTGCATTTGATAAGGAGATTTGGCTGCTTCTCCTTCCTCTCCACTATTCACTCCAGGTGAGCTAAACATGGAAGTGGATGATGGAAATCTCTACAGCTAATTCTTGCCCTAATTTTAAATTTCAGACCACCTAGGCTTCTTTCCTCCTTTGGAAGGGAAAGCCAGACCGACCTGGTCAAGTCTTCGATGTCTACCAGCATCGCATCCTGCTCTGTGTGCAGCTCATCACGGATGAGAAGCAGCTGGACCAACTCTTCATTCAAGCCTGGAGCAAAGAAAGGAGCACTTAAAAATAAAACTGCAGCCAAGTCAGAGCATGTAACTATGAACTGACCATCTACCTATAGCCTAGGCACATATATACATATAAACAGAGATCACAGTAAAGATATTTTTGTAAAAGTTCTCATTTTAGCTTCTCAAAACCCTAGGAGAAGTTATCAGTTGGAGAAATACGACCAGTTTACATATTTTAGAGGTACTGGAAGAAAGGGAGTAAAGTTCGAAGTATCGATTGAGTATCCTTTATTCCACATGCTTGGGACTAGGCAATGTTTCAGATTTTGCCGATATGGTGGTTTTGGAGTATTTCAATCGATACTACTCCAAAATCCCAAATCTGAAATGTCATAAAATTTGAAACTTTTTGATCATTTCAAAGCATTTGATATTTTAGATAAGTGAATGCTCAACCTATGTATTCAATTATATTTATATTAAATAGAAAAAGAAATTGCTAGTTGTCCGGAACTAGCTTGTTAGAAAAAGGGAATGAATTTGTTTTGAAGAAATGAGCATGTTCAGTTTTCTATCCTTCATTTTCAGGATGCTCCTTGCCACACTGATAATCAGAGGAGCCTCTTGGCACCTGACAGTGCTATATCAGACACCCAGTTGGAGAGGCAGGCATGTCAGGAATGTTTAAAGCCTTCATGTGGCCCTAGGAAGTTGTTCTAAGGAAAAACATTGTGTGAAAATATTGGAAAATCAGATTTCTGGAACAACCAGATGTGGAAGACCTGAAAAAATAATCCCTGAAGTCTCTAGAAAATAGGGTGTCAAGGAAAATATTTCTGAGACTTGTAGTGGGAATAAAAAACATATATGTGTAGATAGAAACATTTCTAATTCTACTGAAATCCATGCACTGAGTTAACTAGCTCTCCCATGAAAAACCTTGAAAAACGAAAGGGCTCACTCTTTCTTCTCTCAGAGAAGCCCCTGAGGAGCTACTGCAGACACAGGAGGAAAACACTCACGGGGAGGGAAACAAATGATCTCCCCATACTTTTAGAGATTCTGACTTTAAGTGGTGTTTTTATCTGCTTTTAGTTCAGACTAGTTTCAAAAATTAAAAACAGAGAAAATCATATGGTGATGTATATAATTCCATCTACTCCCAAAAAGGACTGGATTGCAATTTTATTATTTAAGAGTCTAAAGAAGATGTTTCAGTGTTAAAATACTGGAAAGGCTTTTCAGTCCTGGAATGAATAACAATTCCAGTAATTAAGTCACAACTGAAATTAAAATGTAGTTCTAGAATACTTTTTTTTATAAAAATCCTGTCAATCTATGATTTTTTAAATTAAAATCTTGTATCATTTCTTTTGATTTTAAAATATTACTGAATGTATTAACATGGCATTGAATACAACTACTTTTTATCTGGACCTCATGAAAAATTTCATTTATTCCAGTGAGCTCTTGGGGTAGCTTTTTATACCTACCACTCAGCAGAATGCCTGCACAACACAGCCCTTAGGACATAGAAATATTTTTTCTAATATTTGTTAAACTACTATGAAAAATTTCAAACAGATACAATAGCAGTAAGAATAGTTAATAAATCCCCACACATCCAACCATTTTCAACAATGATCAATTCATAGCCAATCTTAAATCCTCTCTCTCCTCTGGTCCCACTGGATCATTTTAAAGCAATTCCAGATACCACATTCTTTCATCCATGAAAGCCTCAGTAGGTATCTCTAAAAAGACAGGAGCTTTTAAAAAAATGCACATGACCACAATTACCTTTATAATTTGTAAAATAAAAAAATAAATATTCAATAAAACATTTAGTTATTGTTCAAATTTCCCTGCCTGGCTCATAAGCACTTTTTAATAGTTGGTTTGCTTGAATGCATTTGGCTGATTTCTCTCTTGAATTAATTCGTTTTGATCTGTAAGTTCCATAGGGTTTTACAGAATCACACTCCAGAGGCTGGGGAGATCATGAATTCATCTGGCTGACCACTATGCCTCTGTGAGGATGGTCAGCCACACACATTCTCTGTAAGACCAATTACCACTACTGAGGGTTGCTAAGCACTCACTTGCCATCCCGTCTGGACAGTTCTATTAGAGCTCCTTCTTTATTCTGGGGGAAAAGGCCCACACTTTAATTTTCACATATTGGTAACATACACTTTCACTATGTAGAACCCCACAAAATAAAAACAATTTGATTTGACTGATGAAGATGATACCTAAAACAAATGTATGTACAAGTAAAGTGGAAGGTATAATTGTATAATAAGTGACTTGTAGCTACTGAATTATACTCGAGGAACAGATGTTTTGAGTTAAATACATGCTCCGGAGATTTAAGACAGATACAAAAAGACACGTAACCATGGTGAACACTGAGAAATACATAAAGCTTCTGACATTTTACAGTTAGAAACACAATAAAAACAAAAAAGAGCCTTGTGATTCTCTTCTTTTTCTTGCAAACACACAGAAGGAACCCAGTGTAAACATCATAGAGAAGAACCCGTCGTGCCTTACATTTCATATCCATTTCTAAGTGCCCCTTACACTTACTTTCGATCTGGGAATGGAGATCATTGACTATCACTTGTAGCTGCCCAATAGTCATGTCTCTCAAGTCGGTGGGTTTTAAACTTCTTTTCATCAAACATTCACTTATATGAGGCATATGTGGCAGCTGAAGATACAGAGGGGAAGTAGAGGTGTGAACAGAGCTACATTACCCTGAATGTAAAACCCAGTTTCCTCTCATGGGACCCACCCTCAGTCACTCACTTCAGTTCAGGTTCTGTGCTTAAAAGCTCCCACAGTCTGATCTTCCCAATGGGGTTCCTATAGACACATACCACATTGCCTGACATGCACACTGCATCAAAATGCTACATTACCAGTATCAAAAGGTTTCTTCTTGGTATTTAACACAAATGGAAACGTAATAGGAATGATATGGATAAAATTAATAATATTAGCTAATATTTAATAATTTATACCACACTACAAGCACTGCACAATATGCTTTGAAAGCTTTGTCTCACTGAATCCTCATAATTGTGCTTTCATACAGGAGTTATACTCATTTTACAGATGAGAAAATTGAGATTTATGTCCCTTGCCTAGAGTACAAATAGGAGTCAAGAGTTAGATGACTCTAAATACCAAGGGCTAAATTGCCTCCATTGAAAGGTGGGAATGAAAGTTATAGCAATAGTGAGGTCTGCCACAGTCAAAATTTCTTTAAAGGAATTTAAATATTTCTATGACAGACAATATTGTCCCTCAGAAAGACTGAATCAAGAGGAGAATTTATTTTTGTGAAAGAAATCTATTGCTTCTGTATCTTTTTTAGTATGACAATAGAAAGGAAAAAGAAACAATTATTTCTCAATGACAGAACTTTTTACAAACTGCCTTGGAGAAACCCAAGTTTGCATAATCTTGGGAAAGAATGTCAACCATTTACAGCCACCAAACCCTGGCTTGTGTTTCAGCCTTTGCTGCTTACAAGATCAGCGACGGGAGACTTTTTCCTGTTCTGTTTTTCCACTTCTACTTGCATTTTGGCCATTGGTTTGGCCATGGCAAGGGCCATCTTGGCTTCAGCTTGCAATTTCTTTTGCCTTGTGAGGAAGTCCATGTCATCCAAGGATTCAGACTCTTCTTCAGTGGTATCTCTGTCAGAATAGGAAGAACTCTGTTTGCTCTGCAAAGGAAGAAAGAGCAGTCTGAGTTTTCTACACTGGTTAACATCTGCTTGCTGATGGGGAATAGCATTCCCTGAATCTGCTCTCCGAGAAGCTTCGAGTTTCCTCCACTGACCCCTGATACCACTCGATTGGCCTTACCCCAATTTTAAGTAACATAAAAAGGTCTATTTTCAGTAGAAAGAGTAGTGTAATTAATAACAGGGAAAATACTAACAAAGTATTTAACCTAGAGCTAAGGCATTGTGTTGGTACTCAGAGTACTGAGGATCTCAGAAAGCCAATGATGTTCTGACACTGCATTGTACTCAACGACCAACATATTTCGTACTTGTTGGTCTTGGGTAAAAAAAGATAAAGGACAGACTTCAGAGAGAGTAAAAACACTGTGCAACAAGCATTCACTATTATTCAGCCAACATCTATACTATGTGAGAAAGAAATTGATTCATATTTCTAAGCCCAAATGATTCTTAGCAATTTTCTTTTTATAATTTTTAAAGCACAGCTTGTCTCTTATAGTTTAATATGAAAATTAGTCATTAACTTTAATAAAGTTTATGTATCTTTACAACTTCGATTTTTCATTGGTTACCAATTTTTAGAAGTACGTGATTCCCAGAGACTTTTCTTTTTTGATCATCTGGAAAAGTTTGCTCCTGATTTGCAACATGGAAGAAGCTAAATGCCCAGGAAGACACAATACAATGCTTCAGCTAGTAGCTGTTTGGACTTACCATGGGTGACAAGGGAGTGTCCAAGCTGGTTTCAGTCTTACTGTCATCAGCATCACTGTCCTTATCACTGCCACTGTCATTGACAAAGCATATCTGCAGGTTCATCCCGCTCTGCAATCTAGGTAGAAATCAACAAGATGCTAATTGTATTTACCTACGAATGTTATTTGGCCACAGCCAACAGAACTGCCTGATTTTGCTAACAGAAAGTTTTATATGTTCATCATGGGGGAGAAATGAGTGACCAATATTATCCTTCACTTGTAAGTGATTTTACTAGAGGACTTCCTAATATTCTATTAATTTTTTCATAACAGTTTCATGTTAAATGAAAAATAATTTAAGCCCATATATTATAGCACCCAGTGCAATTCCAGACACATATTCTGAGTTGCTAAGTTTACAATCCTGTCAATCAAGATGAATGGGGTCCATGGCCTAATAAGGCTGCCAGGTGTCTCCTAGGGTCCTGTCCCAGAGGGACAATCTAAAACAGCTTACTAGAGTCATCATCTCAAGGCCAAAGCCTTTTGAAAAAAGAATTATTTTCCCCCCAGTAGATAAGGTTGTTTGAAGGAAACCTTTATTTAAGGCAGCTGCCAAAAACCAATTGAAGGAGCTCATTTATGTTACTAAGAGAAAAACACCACAGGTTGACCCTAGAGAAATGTAGGGAAACCCAAAACTCAGGAGGCATGTCTCAGAACACAGCAAGGTTCTGCAGGCTGCCTCCGGCACAGTCACAGACTCAGAGACCTCCGGGGAGCTCATTATATTTGTGGTGAGTCCTGAAACTCCAGGAGTATCTGCTATGCGGACACACTTGGCCAGACCTCCGATTCCACTCTGTCCTTACCTTTTTGGAAGACGAACAGATTTCAGTACAATTTGGCAATAAAGAGTTTTTAAAAAAATAATTTTCTTAGCATCTCTAGTAGCCCCAGTCTCTGTGCAAGCATAGATAAAGAAAAGGCAAAAAGAGGCTCCCAAGGCAATAAGAGATTATAGGATGCTGATCTTAGCTAGGTGTAGGGCAGAGGACACTAAATTTGCTCTGGCACTTACCTGATATTTGACATTTGTATGTTTTTTTAATGGTCTGATGGTATGCATGCTTTGTCAACATTACTCAGATGACTGATTTAAAATGCTTCTTTAATTGAAAATAACCCAGAACCCAGAACCCAGGTAAAAACAAAAAGCAAAACACTACTGATTTAACACAGGAGATATGATTCTATAGGTATGCACTGCCACCTACTGTTAAAATATATAATTTATTCAAAGGCCCAGTTTATTTCTCCTTAAAAAAAATACATCTGTCTCTCCCCGAGGGTGTCCAGTATCTTTCTCTCCTTCTCCTCAGGGGCAGGTAAAAAGGGCCAGGCCCAAGGGTGCAAGGTGGAAGGCAACAGACTCTAATGTGATAGGCTTAGGATGCTCAAGGTCAGTTGGACTTAGGTTCCAAATTTTCACTTCTCCGGGAACATTACCAATGTTCTTTGAAACACAATTTCCTCATCTGTACAATGGGGTGAATGATACACACTTCAGCGTATGACAGGAAATATTAAAAGAGTTCATTCAGGGCTTGGCATGGCGTGGGGGCTCTGTATATGTTAACTGTTCTCCTTTCTCTACTTCTGGAAGCTCAGACAAAGGAACACAGTATTTTAGAGGTGATACGACTTTCAGAAAGGAGTTTTAAAAATCATACTCTAGTACCTTTTGCCTAGTCACAGTAATCTCTGATTCAAAATTATATCTTTGACAGAGTTTGCTCAAGCCGTCCCTAACTATTAGGCAGCCTGGCCCTCTATTATACTAGGATTACCTCCTTTCAACTTTCTTTTAATGGACACCCCCCTAAAATGTAATATGTTCAAGTTCTCCTCTGATCCATATAAATTAAAATTTTAAATTTCAATATCTATAGTTGTTCTGGAAAAGAAAATCAATCAATTTTTGATAATAAAACTCAAGATCCATGATTTAGAAGATGATGGGAAAATTTTACAAATTGAAAACAGCTCATTTCAAAAACTAATATAATTACAAATCTAGGATTATGTAGCTTTTTATTATTCAATAAAATCTTGCAAAGAAGTATCTGATTACTGGATCTATAGATTAAGCAAATATACAACAGCCTGATAGCACCATAACAAAAGAAGGTTTAAAATGTCCAAAGATCTATAATTTCACTCTGAAAAAAGTCTGGCTGTATATTGTTGTTCTGCCCTGAACTGACCTTTCTAAGAAGGCTCACCCCAGACCTAAATTGACTATCCCATACAGGGTTTGTAACTCAGGAAAGGCAAGGGAAGAGATTTAATAGGGTGAAAGGAAAAAACGCCTCAGATAGAAATTCAGAAAATTGTCTTAGTACCACATCATCACGGCAGGAAACAGAACAGAGCTTTTTAAGGGTGAGACTTAGAATTCCTTACAGTGGTAATCACCAAGAATGTTACTCTCAGGAAAAAGAAATGATATGACATTACAGCTAACAGTTCAGAGGGGATTTTAGTAAAGACATCTTAAAGTGGGTTCAGGTTTTAAGAAGGATTTGTTTGCCTTTAGCCTTTAAGCAGGTTTTAATAGGAAGGTGCCTTTGGGTGAAATTTAACTGTAGTTCCCAAGGAGTGGCCTGACTGTGGGATGTGTGGGGCCACCTGGCTCACTGAAGGCCTTTGTTCCACAGAATCAAAAACAGATATCCCCCGCTCCAGGGTGTGTAGCTGTTCTTGAGCCTCAATTTTGAAGATGCAGCTCCCTGGGCTCTGGCCCTTATACGTCAGAGTATAGTATCTGGCCTCATACATAACCAATCTTGCAAACTTCAGGCTGCATGGGTCTAATTTGCCTCTATCTCTCCAGCACAGTCTGAAGTGAAAAGAAAACAAGATCTTTGTCTTGTTAATTACAGATATGATTTCAAGGTATTTTGTTCAGGTTTACTTGATGTTTGAGTGGTGTATGGCAGAGCATAGCATGCAAAATGCTGCTGGGAATCTGTCTTGCCAGTTGATTTTCTTTCTGAAGGGTGTGGGTCCTGGTTACCTGAGAAACTTCTTCTCCCTTATATACACCATGTAGCAACTAAAAACAAGTGTTGCCCAGTGCTACTGACAGGGGGCACCAGGGTATTGGAAAGAGGATATTCTTGATGAAGAAGGCTCAGAACTTAAAGAGATAAAATCCTAAGTATCTTCTAGACATGTCAGTGTGAACAGAAGTAGCTTCCTGTATGACAGTACGAATGGGCCAGGACTGGGACAGCATTTAGTGGAGAGTTCTGCACCGTGTCTGCCTGGCATTTACAGAGAGGAAGACTGTTACTCAGAAAATGGCTGTGCTGAGTTTCAGCTGCAGTTACCAGGGATATTACTAAAATATGCATGGGACTGAGAGATGGCAGAGATGAACAGTTCTTAACTACAAAAAGAAATCTATAAAGCATAGCCAAGTGCTGACGTGATTTGGTACAACATTAACACTTCTTTTAAAACACCCAGACAAGACCAGTTTACTCCCAGAGAGAAACAATGCAATGGTCTGAAAATTTGCTGTTGACTTTCAGAGGGGCAGCAGCTATCGTGAATCAGGGCTCTCTTTGTCCTTGACCCAGGTTATGGTAAAGAGGCACTGGTTTGAAGCCAGCTCTGAAGCCCAGAACTATTCATTGTATTCTGCTTTTGGAAATGGGAATCTTCGGCACCAGCTTAGACCACAAACATTGATGCATAAATATTTAAGATTCTTTGGTAATATTTTATCCTCCGCTGGCCCACCAGGACTTACAGAGTTCATGTCACTTGAACTGGGGTGTTGAATTTCAGTTTAAGAGTATGTTCACTTCCATCAACTCCTTGGGCTACATAACTGCCAATAGGTAACCTCAGAGAAGCAAGCAACATGCCCTAGCCTGATATAAAAATGGTCCCAGTTTTTCCCTTCCTTGCACTCTCCTTTCTGTTCTGCAGTGTGACTTCACAGCTTCTCTCATCAGAGTCTATTGCCCTATCCAAGCATGGGCCCTGTGATCAACAGAAAGCAGTGCAGTGACAACTGTTCCAGCTCAAGTCTCCTCCTCAAGGAACTCTGCTACAGCCAGCACCCTCAGAAGAGGTCCAGGCTCGGCTGCTGGAGTATGAGTGGTTTCATAGCACAGAGCTCGATTGTGCAGCTGTCCTGACAGAAGCCCCAGACACAGGAGAGCCCAGCTAAGAGCAGTAAAGACACCCTGCCGAGGTCTAGTTGGAGGCAGGTATATAAGTAAGCGGTGTGTGCCTAGTTCTGATCAGCAGAACTGCCCAGGCAACCAATAAGCTCTTAAGCAAAAGCAAATGCTTATCCTTGTATGCTTTTGATGGGATTGTTTATTATTATTATGCACCATCAACGTGGCAATAGGTAAATAGCACAAGGTCATAAAGCAAAAGATTTAAAGCTGCACATCTGATCTTTGAATCCAGGGGCCTTTCCCCCATAAGACACTTAACCTCAGATTTGGATTTACACTATTAGATTCTGCCTGTGTCTGGTAGTATAATTTTACAGGGAATATACATCTTGTATTTGCTTATAATCCCAAGGCATCTGTATGGTTTTTCTTAGGAAGCAGAAGAGGGAACTTCCCACTTGCCTATGGATTTCACACATGCATTTCTGCCTACAATCAGTGTGGCTTGTAAGCCACTGGCTCTGCTGTGCCTTTCACTGCTCAACATCCCCAACCAGTTTGTAGCCAAGCTGTTAAAATTTATTATTTCCATTTATTTTAATGGACTTTTGACACATTATTCAAAGATCTTCTACATAATGAATAATTACCCATATTTTATATTATATCTTTTTCTGTTTCATGAAAATTTCAAAGGCAACCGAGCTGAAAATATGGATTTTAACTATTCAAGGGCAGGTACAAACATGTTTCACTTTTCTGAGAATTTCTCATGAAGAAAAATGTGAGAACAACTGTAGATACACTGTATATGTAATGGTATCTTCATAGAACATGTTGAGGTGGGTGAAAATAAGGGATTGCTACTCTATAAGAAACTGTAAAATATTTCTTCCATCCCATAAACTGCTTTTCCTTTTTTTCCTACTGAC